CTTTCTCTGGAGTGCTGTTCATTAGCCGTGCAGGGTCATCACGGCAGGGAGCAGGGGCAAGGGTGAGGTTGGAAGGGAGTGGGGGAATTTAGATGGAAAGAGAAGAGTGATTTGTGGCAGGCTGGGCAGCCTCAACAAGCAGGAGTAGAGGCAGGAGGACCCTCTCAGTCTTTTCCCTGTAGTCTCAGTGCTGGCATGATTGCACTGCCTCTGCCTGTATCAATGGGAAGAACTTGGCACCCTCCATCTCGCTGAGTGCTGCATGGAGACAAATCAGCTGCTGTATTTGTATGACTAAAGAGACCCAGGAGCACAATCGTTCAGGAAGTGAAACAAAATGATGGCAGCATTTGGGCCAATACCATCAGCAGTCCTAGGGATATCGGAACTCTTCAGGCACATGAAGGAGCAGCTAAAGCTATGTAAAATGATTGCATGTTCCCCATGACCCCTGGGCCCGTGAACTAGCCCTAAAGGGGTGACAGCTGCCCTGTGCTATTCCCTTAGGAAGTCCCATCCCTGAGGTGGCATTGCAGATATTTGCCTGGTAGGCGTATGGTGGCAGCAGCACCCCTTTATTAAATCCTGCCATTTGTTCTGCCTCATGCTGCAGCTGCAAAGCAGCTGATGTTCGCTGGGCTATTTGTGCTTTTGGACCTCAGCTTCCATCACTAAACCCAGAGCTAAAGAACATCTCTTTGGTTTTATGGTCAGCAACAGAGGCTGTAGGTGTGACGTGACCCCCCAGCTATCACCTCTGAGGCAGCCCAGGGGCTCAAGGCCAATGTAAGTGTGCTGCCTTCACAGCCTAAGGCCAGACCCATCAGTCTAAGAAGCAGCAACCATTTTGTCTTTTCAAACAGGGCATTTGGGAGATGAAGCTACATCAGAAGAGTCCTTTGTGGACTCCTGTCTATCCCTGGAGAATACAAGCCAGGTGAGATGGCCAGCCATCATTGGAAGGTCACCTGAGGGATGGATTTCTCACAGCGTGACACAACTCCACCTAAAGTCAAAGTGATTCCCCTGGGCTGGCTCTTGCTCTGGCGGCTTCTTCCCACAAACCCCTGCTGACATTTGCTTTTCCCTGCCTTCTTGGCTCCCCCATTTCTACCTTCCCCTCCAGCAGTGCCTACAATGATCAGAGTGAGCAATCCAGCATGGCCCAGTTTAATATTCCACAGATCCTCACAGGCTGATAAATGAGAACAAGAGAGGGAAGGAGGGGGTGGGAGCCTGGTGCATGGGGGGGATATAAAGCCCTGAGCCTGTATTCAGAGCAGCAGAGATAACAATAAGCGAGAATAATAGTCTAACAAGTCGGAAATGTCACACGCGATCTGGTGCCATTAACACAACATGGATCTGAAATATCACATAATTAGTTTTGTGCCTGTTGTTCTGATTTGGAGAGAAAAAATATTAAAGGGAAGAGATTTGGGGGGGCAGAGAGGGGAGTGCCAGCAAAGTGAACTCATAAAAGGGCGAAGCCTACAGCGTCTAATGTTTTTGGAATAGTATAATAAAGCTCTATCTCCTTACCCATGTTTGAGGCAGAGATTTTTATCTGGCAGTACAGGATAAAAAGAAATGAGAACTTGAAAAGGGTAGATAAAATTGCGATTGATCTCTCCAGGACTGCCTTGCCTCCTTTCAGGGAAGCTTGTGGGCCTCATGAATTGCTCCACCACTGAGACACATGATCCCCACCCCTTCCCATGCCACCTCGCTAAAAGATGAAAAAAACCTGATGTTTCAGGGTTTCTTTCCCCGTCTCTTTATAACCCAGTGCACAAACCCCATGTTCGAAGGCTGTGAGATGACTCAGAAGCTGTTTGTCCCCTGAGAGCAGGCCTAATGCATGGGTGATTTGGGGACCCCCATTGCTACCGAGGCGTGTGAGCCCTGATGCCTTCAAACAGGCTGCTCTGAACATTTGGATTCGTGGGCTGGTGTGTGCCACCAGCTGCTCAGTGCAAAGCTCCTGCCTCTGCCTGCGGAGTCCGATTCTTGCTGGTGGTGTTTCGTGACTCTCGGAGGGATACAGGCACTATCAGGAGAGACAGAAATGCCCAGAACCCAGTGGCATGGGCACTGTTTGGGGATAGTTGTATAAGGATTGGAACAGGACTCTTCCTCTCCTCAAAGGTGTTGGGGAAAGAGAAAGTTGCACATATCATGTAGGACAAATGTTGTCAGTCCTTTCCTAACCTGCCGCCCGTTGGGATGTGAGTAACCTGGTGTACATGAAAAACCCTTCTGAGACTGTGGTTGTGTCAACTGTACATCTGACTATACCTGGGTGGGGTTAGCAGCAGCTTTAAATTGACAGCAAAACCTTCTGGCTGGCTGGGACAGCCCCAGAGCTTCCCTGAGATTGGGCACTTCTCATCTGCTGGCTGGAGTTGCCCCTTTATGCAGGGCCTGGAGGTGCATCTCCAACACACTTGTCTGAGACAGGAGCATTTGAAACGGGGGCATTGCACCCTTACCCACCCCTCTCTCCTGGAACAACTTGGCATTTTCATGATCAGAAAGCTCATCATGACAGGGATGGGGTAGAATTTCTTAAACATGCTTCATTTTAAGCGTTCCCCTTTCTACATGTTTGGGTTTTTTTTTTTTTTTTTTTCACAAAGCCCTTTAACTCTGATGCTTACTGGGACATGAACAGCAAACCCTTTGTCCTTTCCTCCAGGGAGAAAGTTGGAGCAGCTTATAGTGAATTGAGCGTGGATTTTGTTATTTCCTCTGGCAGAGAAGTCCCCTTCTCCATCCCCTGGCTGTACAGTGGCCCGTGTGAGGTTGATGGATGCCTCAGTCCTGCTCGTGTAGACAGGTACTAATCACCCATCGGTACTTTTCCAGGCAATGTTAGAGGAGAGGCTGAAGGACCACATGGTATGTGGAGACCAGAACTAGATGTGCCAGGTCGTTCCAGGGACCATTTTTGGGGGGAGAGATGGGAAGAACATTTGCTCCTGCTGCTTGCTCTTGCTTTTGCCCTGTCACTGCAGAGCAGCTTCACACCCACCCAGGCCCACGTTGCCCCTTCCCCTGGTCTCTCCCAGTCTGGGTGAAGGAGAACAGAGGAGATGTGTTAACCACAGATTTGAATTTTAATGTGTAATGAAGCTTTCTGTCTTTTTTTTTTTTTTTTTTTACGTGCCAATCACTTTTAAGCATATTCTGAGAAAGAGGTACTTTAGAACAAAAGCAGTACTCCTGTGCCAAAGGCACGGATTGCTGTGTCCAACTCCTGTCTCTGGAGGATGCCTGTAGGATTGGGATTCAATTAATTCAGCCCCGGCGGATTCATCGCTTTGCCCGCTAACGGCCGCGTACTGACAGCGAGTGTGACAGGAACGTTGATCTATTGCTCGCTGCTCTGGCCAGTCATGACAGGAGGCTGCTGTCACCTCCGGAGCCAGAGCCTTTCGCACGTGAAATGGGGGATCTGCAGAGGGTTGAAATGCAGCCGCCTCTGGGGTGGAGCACAGCAGCTATTTAACAGAAATCTGCTCCCTGCATTTGCATGCAAAGTGAAAAGTATTTCTGCATTTTGTTAATACTGAACAGAAGTGATAAATATTAGGACTGGGGAAAAAGCGAGTTTTCCTTTTGACAAGAAAGTCTGCGGCATCAGTTTTTCCTTCAACTCTGAAACGAATGTTAAAAATTCTGATGAAGCATATGTTCTTCCAAAATTAAACATTTCATTGCTATTTCAGCATTTGCAGTTTGCCAGTATTTTTAAAATACAAAAACAATGATTTTGTTTGGAAAAATAATTTTAATTTTGAACAAGGCGTTTTAGACTTATCAAAATGCTTTGTTTCATTTTTTTAAAATTGAAAGACAACTGAACAGTCTATGTGACATTAGTATTTTCTGATTTAAAAAGCTGATCTAAATGAAAACTGATTAATGTTTTTGGTGGTAAGCAATGCTTTGTTGAAAAACTTCTGATCTGCTCTAGTAAGATAGGCAAGGTCTGTATTATGTATTGGCCTCTATCCAGAGAGTGAGACATCTGCTACTGCAAGAGGTATAGGGAAGCTCGCATGAACAATGCTATCAAAAAAAGCCTTAAACACATAACTCCTCTGTGTCATATGTCAGTGTAAAGAATTACATTTCTTCTAGTGATTTGCAGGGAATTTTATCAGAACGATGCTAGGAGACTTATTCCTAAAGCTTTCTCTTCTGTCTTTTTATCACTCTGGTTGCAATCCTACCACCCGCAGCTGGATGCGTGCACACACCATTGAAAGAGTTGTTGCATGCAGTGCATGCAGCGGTCAGAGACTGTATCACATCAGATGCAACTTCTGGAGCCATTTTCCCTTTTGGATTTTTCTGGGTTTCCAGCCATGGAAACAGGCTGCAAGATGAGCTTGACAGTGCTTGTTCTCCCATCCATTTTAGTCTGCTTGAGTTCCCAGCAGATCAGCTAAGCCCTGACCTGTGATGGAGGGTCTGTTGAGAGTACGGGTCCCAGGAAAGCAGGCAAACCCCACCAGTTCTGTGAATATGGGTTGCAAGGCTGAAATCAACACCTGCCCCAGCCAAGAGTCTTGGAAATGAGGGGGAGGCTGAAATTAGGGATGTGTTCAAGTTTCAGGTGGTAGCAATGATGGGGTGGGGGTAGCCCACCAATAACATCTCTTGCTCAATCCCGGGGATAATTGCAAGCAGGTGTTATCAACAGAGAGGAATAGCAAAGAATCACAAAATGGTTTTGGTTGGAAAGAACCTTTAAAGATCATCTAGCTCCAACCCACCTGTTATGGGCAGGGACACCTTCCACTATATCAGTTTGCTCAAGAAGGGAAAAGAAACCTGATGCCAGGTGAGCATTGTAGCACCTGGAATTGGTAACGAGAGGTAATCAATCTTGTTGACCAGAGGAAGGGAGAGTGAGATGGTCAGGGTGTTGGGAGAGGTGTGTGAGCAAGGAGAATTTGGGGGTTAGTTTTGGTATTCTGTTTCAGCTTTGGGGGAGAGAAGCCTCTGCAAAAGCCTGAGAAGGACCATGAACAGTTGATCAGTGAAGGGTGACTGACGTGAACAGGAAGAACTCAGGAACTGAAGGTAAGTTTTGCTGGGCGTGTTTTGGTAGTGGTTGTGGCTGGAGATGAAGGTATCTCATTTAGCCCTCATTCCTTCCCTCTCTCTAGTCTGAAGTTGGATTGTGGTAGTGGACTGAATTAAGGCAGCCCTGTGAGCGGGGCAGGCTGGTGGTGTGGGGCTGCAGTGAGCTGTGCTGGCTGGGGCAGGGGTACTCTGGCCTCGGGGGGTTTTGCCTGTGCCTGGCTCAAGAGGACAAAACTAGCTATGGGGGAGTGGGCTGCTGGCCAGCTGCTTCCTGGGCTCAGAGGAGCAAAGCATACCTGTTTTTCTGTGTTTGTGGAAGTTGTATTACCAAATCTTTCTTGGGAAATTGCCCTTGCATTGCGCAACTCAAAGAATAAAGGGGGGGGGGGGGGGGGGCGGAAAAGTAAACTTGTATTACCGTGTTTGTAGCTCTTTGAGGACAAAGTGTTCCTCCCCTGGCCTCCCCCAACCATGAGGATTAGCAGCATCCCATCTTCTTCAGTTGATTCAGAAAGTGAGGTTAAGTACAATGCCTAAAACTCCAGGACCCGAGGGTATGCAATTCCCTGAACTCGTAAAATCATGACTTGGCAAATCCGTGTTAGCTGCAGAGCTGTTCATGCTCTTAACCTGTATTTCTCCTAAGCCAATTAGGCTGAGTTTCTAGTGAGGGCAATGATGGCTGGGCACACTCTTTTGAACCAATAATGTAGGTGGCTGGAGGAGATGAGTGGCCTGCTAATGAGGGAGCGGCTGCCTGCTAGCGATGCATAGCTAATGATCCCTGTCTCTAGCAGTCCATGGCCAGGCGGAACAAAAAATCTATTTCCACCAAGTGCTTCATTACCATCCAGCTACACTCAAATGAACAGCTCCGTTTGGTGGAGAGCGGGGAGGGCAATGTGACTGGAACATGGCTGTTTGGGGGAGACATATCGTGTTTTCCCTGCATCACCCTGGATAAGCCTCTCTGCCTCTTTGGGCATTGCTGTTCTTTCCCCTCCCTGCCTTTGCAATAGTGCTGCTCTGAGGATAGTGTTGAGAGTGAGATGGGTTGTGATACATGCTGCAGGTTATAGAGAAGAGGAGGAGTGCCAAAATCTAGAGGTTTTAGTGCCGTAGTTTGGAGATGCCTGCCTGGTTAGTGTCTGTCACTTCTTCAGCCCCTCCTCAGGGGCTAATACCCTTCTGGGTCTGGGGAGGGAGCTCTGGGAAGCAGGCAAGCCCCAAGATAAAAGGTGCATAGTCCTTGTGAAACACAGTGTTTTGTCCAGGATTGGTCCTTGTTTGTTGAAACCAGCATCGAAGATGCAGGCAGGCTGGGGCTCTGGGCTTTGCTGCAGCTCCGCACCAGGAGGAGTGTGCATCTCTGGAGCTGGGATGATTTGGTGTAGTGCAGGGGGAGGTGATGGGTGGCACTGGTGTAAGCAGTCAGGCTGTGAGTTGCTGTATGCCAAAGCTCAGGTGTGCAAGAGGCTCTGTCAGCTTCTCTGAAGGGGCTGGGCTTGCTGCGTGCTTCTCGGTTTCCCGATGTGTGATGGCGGGGGGAAGGTGGGCAGGGTAGGAAAATCTGCTGAAAGATTTCATCCTTTCAACAGATTAAACTCTTCTTGCAGAGCTCCTGTGCGTCTCCCCTCCCACTTGAAATTATAAATACATTTTTTTCAGTGAGTTGGTGAAAAATTCAAGCCTGCTACTGTAAAGACCCCATCTTCTAACCAGGCCCTGTGCGATCTATACATGTCAGTTGATGTAGCCTCATTGGACTGCTGTGGTTGGTAAAGTGTATTGAGATGCCTCCAAGATGCTAAAGAAATATAAATGATTGCTGTTAGGCTAATTTATTACTATTTAGCAGAGAACAAATGCATTTTTAAAGGGATAATGGCAAATTAAAAATCCTATTAAGCAAATTTGCTTACCTAGTACTTAGTAACAACTTGGGCTTAGATCCCGCAGTTGTTTAAATGCGTGCACAACCTTACTCAAGCGTGCAGGCCCAAAGAAATCTTAAATCTCTGTGGGATCAAGAACATGGATATTTCAATGTAAAATAATTAAAAATAGAAAACCCCCACCAAATTAGTCTTTTGCAGTTGGCACTGCTAGTCTTCTCCTGACTCACTGCCTTTGCTTGGAAAATGAAAATCGATGAGGTCAGTTTTACTTCTGTTTCTAGTTGGTGTCAAATCAGTGACCTCAATGCAGAGCTGGTTGTGCAGGAGTGTGGTATTGATCCTGCCTCTGATCCACAGCGTTTGACATCAGCAGACAGAAACCTGTGCTGGCCTAAGAGGCTGTGCCTGCCTGTACTGCTGGGTCGGGTGGCTGCGCCCACCCTTCGGCTCTGGGGACCCGCAGGGTGCGGTGCTGTGCCCCACTTACATGAGGAGTGTGCTGGCTGGATGGATTTGGAGACCTGACTGCTGTCATCCAGCGCAGGTGGTCTGCACTGCCAGGGGCAGCCCAAAGCAGGATTTACTACTAAAAAATTATTCTGAAAACTCTTTTTCTTGGGCTGCTGGATAGACACAGTCAATTTTCTTCAGGTGTTTCTTAACTTACCTTCCACACCTGTGCAGCAGCCCATGGACTGTTCTGCTCTGTGCCATTCCCACCTCTCCTTTGAAAGAACTACAAACACCCAGTTAAGGCTCCAAGAATTTGTAGAAATCAGTCTTTTCTTCAAGTCCTAGTTTGTATTGTAAATCAAAGCAATAATCTTTCTGCAGTCCTGGGTCAGAGACTGGCATTTATTTATGTTGTTAGCTATAGCTTTTCATGTGTTCTGGTGCAGATAATGGGATGCCTTCTTACCAATATGGCTTGCTCACTCAGGCTGCTTCTTGGTGTGGCGTGTCATGGAGGTGGCCCTGGCTGCAAAGGACTAGCGCGGGTGGCAGGGAGGAGCACCAGAAGTCAGCTATGGTGCTTCCACACAAGTCTGTCCAGACACAAGCGGTGCAAAGCCAGAATGAAGCTTCAGTTCATCAGCTGAAATACTACTGGGGTCAGTAATCCTTAAACAGAGAGCACATATGGAAGTGTTTTGAGCAGGGATGTATGCCTGTGGTGGTCTGTTGTGAAGATGGCTTGAGAAGGTCCTACATGGCTCCCTTGGTTACACTGATAGAGCTGTTTACAAGGCTTCACTCTGCGTTCCATTGCTGAAACAACCTGGTTGTAAAACAGCTCCTGATAGCTGTACTAGCACAGTGGAGGTGTGCAAGCACGTTGTGAGGGCAGGAATGAGCTGCTGGAGGGGCTAGGATGAAAAGCTCTGGTTGTGAGGGGAATTTTAGCAGGCTTTGCATGGCCAAAAGCAGTATGCTCTGGACCTATGCCCTGGGATTTCTACTCCGTGGCTGGCAAGAGCTGACATCTGCTGAGATCCACGTTTTAAGTGAGCTCTGGCCAAAAAATAAAAATATGTGTAGATCCATCCTTATTTCCATCGCTTGGAAAATAAGAATGTGGTGGCAGTGTGAATAAACTCTCACCCAAACCAGCCGTTTAGCACAGGGCTGGGTTCTCGCTGTGGTCACCAGCACTTTGCTTTTCTCCACACAAGCCTCATCCCTTGCAGATCTTGGTGCTTTCTGGAGTCTTCCCTCTCCTGGTCTCATTGCATCTGGCAATCCAGGTGATGGTCTGCCCTGCCCACGCAGTGTGTGGGGGCTGGTCCCCTAAGACTGGTCCTTACTAGCTCTTCATTAGCAGTTGACTTGCTGAGGAAGGCCTGCAGGGAGGCCGGAGGCAATTCTTGCTCCAGGCACCCACCAGTTTGTGCCTGCTCTGTCCATATTTCAGATTTGAGATGTTAGTGAGTCCTGTGCATGTTCTTGTTGGAAATGACATGTGTTATAGTTTCTGTAGCAAAAAATATACTTGTGAATGCGTTCCTCAGGAAAAACGGTGAGTTCAGATGACGGCTTTCAGAAATCCTTCCTCACTATTTGTACAATGACTTCTATTTATGAGAAAGTACAGCTTCTGTGAGCACCCTAAATTTGAGCTGTTTGGTAAAAGGTTTTTTCAGCTGAGAGATGAAGTTTTGATAGTCAAAATACTTTGTTTTGGATGTACGAAGCAGTTTTAAATTACTTTTTTGACCAGATTTCCCCAGAACTAATCCTTTCTCTTGGATGTGACATACTTTTGACCAACACTTGGATGCTTTGGTACAGAAACAGTGTTTTTCGGTTGAGGACAGCCTAAAGCACTTCTGGGAAGGGAAATGGACTCACTCGGCAGTCAAGGATTGATACAGCTCTGCCTGTATCTCACTTAGGTGCCACTTCCAGCTCAACATCAGTGGTCACCCAGGCAGAGGGAAGTGACCCACTGCAGAGCATGAATAACTACTGAAAAATGGGGGATATTGGCCCCAGCTTCCACAACGTGGTTCTTACCAAATGCAGAGATGCTGGGGGGCCCCTCATGGCCAGTCTGACTGTACCTTATATTGCAACGTACTGTGATTGAATCTGATAAAAAACAAACCAGCAGATATTTTGATGTGAAAGTAACACCTTCCTATGAAAAGGGATCCCTCTTTCTATTTCTAGTCTGCAGCAGTGTTATAGCAAGCTTCTTTGTGGCTTGCAGTATGCTTTTATTGTGATAGATCAGCTGGGCAAATATTCTTCAAAACAGGCTTTTTATCTTCTCTGCTACAGGCAGGTGTTAGCCTCAGTTTGCAGGAGAGAACTCTTATGGGGAAAGCAGGAGCCTGCTGGTGTATCGGTGTCCTCGGCAGGCTCACGGGGTGGGCTGTTCCCCGGGATGTGGGAGCGGGGTGGATGTGAGTCATGCCTTGCCCTTGTCATTCCCTTGTTTCCTGAGCCGCGCTCGCTCATCTTTCTGAGCGCAGGATGTGGGTGGCTTTATTTGGAATGTTACAAGAATCCCTGAGTTAATTGACCAACACAAATTTTGTTAAAAAGCCTTGACATTGATAATGAGAAGTAAGAGCTGAGAGGTAAAACACATGCTCT